GGTACAGTGGTTAAACTGCTAGCAAAAAGGCCAGTGTTTAAATACACCAGTGCTGCAAGACTTAGTTGTCTCCTGAAAAGATTAAATTGTCAGCAGGTCAGTTCAGATTCAGCAACCCTGCAGCCTGTGGGGGCAATTCTCTTCTGTCTTATGGTTGCTATGAGTCAAAATTGACTGAATGGCAACAGGAATAAGGTTTAAATGAGATTGAATTTAAAGTACTTAGCACATTATATGGTTAATGTTAACTGCCCAATAATAAATGGTAGCTATAATAACTATTACTGGTTTGCAAGTTGTCCATAGTGTATTTAATAATGCCTGTATTGTTGGGCTATTCATTGGAGTACTAACCATAAGGTTAACACTTCAGAAGCATCATCTGCTTTGCCAGAGAAAGATGAGGCTTTCTACTCTCATAAAGAGTTAGTCTCAGAAACCGACAGGAGTCTCACCCTGTCCTATAGGGTCTGTGAGTTAGAATCGACTCAGTGGCAGTGAGCTTTTGGAGTTTGCATACCGTTGGGTTAGGAGGCATGTTGGTGTAGAGCAGCAGTTCTCAACCTGTGGGTTGTGACCCCTTTGGGGTCACCTAATAAATCCTGCATGTCAGATATTTATATTATGATTCATAACCATAGCAAAATTACAGTTATGAAGTAGCAGCATAATTAATTTTATGGTTGGGGGTCACCACAACATGAGGAACTGTATTAAAGGGTCACGGCATTAGGAAGGTTGAGAACCACTGGTGTAAAGGGTTACAGGTTGAGGTGCTAACCACGAGATCAGCGATTCAAAATTCTCATCTGAGAAACAAGATGAGGCTTTTTCTACTCCTGTAAAGATTTACAGCCTCGGGAACACCATATAGGATTGGGATGAGTTGGAATTGACTCAGTGGCTGTAGGCTTGGTTTCATTGTCTAAAATGTAGTGCTTTATTTTTTTAACCATAAAGAACTCGAAAGCATTAAAATTAAAAATTGCATATGAACATCAGTTATTCAAATGCTTCTTGTAAAATATGGAATAAAGTGCATTTTAATCAGACTCATATTACAAGTTATATACAATTACCAAGGATTTTTAATTAGTGGATATTGTAATGCTGACTGAATTCATGTTTTTAAAGTGTTTGACTATATTAAACTAACATTTCTTCTTGCTTTTGGACCCCTATCTTATCACTGTGCTATTTGAGTTCCTAAAACAAAAATACCCTGAACTAATGGGGTGAACATTCTTTTTTTTTTCCCTTTTCTAAAGCTAGGTAAAAATATATAACTCCCCTTAGCAATGTTTCATATTCAAAAAATGAGGTTAAAAATCTTTATTAAAATAATATTAAGTATAGTTAATATTTTAAATGAGACACTTAAAAAATACAATTTTGGTTGAAAATATCAAATTGTGGCAGTATCTTTAAACCTCTTGTAAAGATTTACTATCTTGGAAACTCAAAAGGCAGCGCCACCCTGCCCTGTAAGTGGCTATGAGTCAGATTCAGCTCAACTGTGAGCTTGTTTTTTGATTCTTATACCCAAGGAGCCTGGTCACTTGTAGTCTACACATCACACTGCCAACTGCAAGGTTAGCAGTTAGTACCTCCAGGCCATTCCACAGGAGAAAAATGAGACTTTCTAATGTAAAGATTTACAGCCTTAGAAACCCGAAAGGTCAGTTCCTCTCCCTGTGACTAGGAAACACCCCCCTAACCACCAGCTGCTCCTCAGGAGAAAGATAAGGCTTTCTAGTCCTGTAAATAGTTATAGTCTCGGAAACACACGGGGTGGTTCTACCCTGCCTTATTGGGGCGCTGTAAGTCAGAATTATCTTGGTGGCAGTGAGTTTACCTTAGGAGCTCAGATGGCGTAGTGGGTTATGTGTTGGGCTGTTAGCTTCTGGGTCAGCAGTTTGAAACCACCAGGAGCTCTGTGGGAGAAATATCAGATGTTCTACTCTGGTAAAGATTTACGGTTTTGGAAACCCATAGGAGGGGAGTTCTGCTCTATCTTTTAGGGTAACAGTGAATTTGGTTTTTAGTTTGATACCTTTGGAGTCCTTGGTGGCACTAGCTGTTGAACAATCAACCAAATAGAAAATTATTGTCTTTCACCCACCCAGAGGCACTTAGGAAGAATGGCCTGGAAGAATTCTAATAGGTATCCGTGAAAACTCTATAGAAAAAAATACAGTTCTATTCTGCAACATAGGTGGGGGGGTTGGCATGAGTCAGAATTGACTTGCTGGAAACTGTTTGTTTTTTAATATTTGACTATAGAGTAAGAAATAAGACACCTGTTGTGTGTGCTGTTGCCTGTAGTTGTTACTTTTTAAAAAAAAATAATTTGATTGGGGGCTCGTACAACTCTTTATCACCATCCACCCATACATCCATTGTGTCAAATTTGTACATTTGTTACCCTCACCATTCGCAAAACATTTGCTTTCTACTTGAGCCCTTGGTAAGTTGTTTGATACTTTTTGTGGTCTTTGATTTGCCTTCTTCTGATATATAAACTTAAAATTGTTGAATAGTTTCTCTTTTAAAATCTATGATATTTTAAAAACTTGAACCAGAAAATTAATGTGGTGAGGCATAGACAAAGTGCTGGTAACCAATCTGAAATCATGATCAATCTTCTTTATTTGGGGAAAAAAGCAAAAATCAAACTCACTGCTTTGAGTCTTATAGATTATACTGATCTTTTCCTTGTTAGAGCGTGTTCACGCTTATAACCTTCAAGCCTTTTTGTTTTGTTTTTAACCTTTAGTGGGGGGTTATATTTAAGATAATCATTTTTGGATTCAGCAACTTTAAACAACCTCCCTAATCTCCCATTAATTATTTTCAAAACCATTTTCAAAATCAGCTATATCAGTAGATAATTATTGAGTGCTTTGTGTGATCATTAATAAGAACAGGACATGTGCAACTAAGATTGGACTATCATTTCATGAATTGTTTTTAAAGAAATTGGAATTAGTGGCCATAATTTACTTAAAATGGAAGCATGATATAGCTACATCTTTTAATGGGAAAAGAGAAAAGAAATAAAATCAGAAGAAGAATGTGAGAGAAACAGTAACTTAACAGGGGCAGTAAATGATGATTTTCAGCTTTGAACAAGGAAAGAGATTACAATTAAAATTTTATTTATTAAACATTTAGGAATTAAAAGGAGAATAAAACTTAGGAATGCGGGTTTAGAAGTTAATTAATCTTTTAATATTTGTAGAGAAAAGACTTAATATTCAATCAGAGTTACGCTAACTAGAAAAACTCCTTTTCCTGAATGAACTGGTTATGGTGAGGTTAGATGACTGATTATAAATATCTGTTACATCATGTCAAGCTGGAATGGATAACAAGGTATCTACATTTGACAAAGGTAGAGTGCAGTATAGCTCCATGTAATTAATTAAGAATTTACTGTAATTAATAGTTCCCTTTTTCATTTGAACAATGTCATTGAAATATATTATTATATAGAAATGTTATCTGAAATATGGTGTATAATAAAGGGTTAATATCAGTAAATGAACTTCTTCAGTTACATTAAGTTAAATTATCTTGTGTAACGTGACCCAAAATCCACTAGCATTAAGTTGATTCTAACTTGCAGTGACCCTATGTAGGGTTTCTGAGACTGTAAATCTTTATCGGAGCGGACAGCCCCATCCGTCTCCCACTGTGCAGCTGTGGGGTTTGAACCTTAGACCTTGCAGTCAGCCCACCACAAGCACCACCTGGAACTCCTTGTGTAATGTCACAGTTGACCAAAAGAGTAAGAACAAACAGATTTATAGATAAAGTGTTATAGGTTAAACATCTTAAATGGGTTATATTAAACTGAAAATAAATTTTGAGATGAATTTTATTGGACTTTAATAACAGTATTAGGATTTATCCCGTGCTGCTTCAACATCTATCACAGTGGCACATTTAAGACATTTATATGAATAAATTGGAAGTTTTTTCTGTTGCCCCAAGTTATTAAAAGTAGAGTTAAAAAAAAAAAAAAGTAATTAGAAATCTGGAAGTTAACTGTATCTGAAGGTAAAAAAATGGATTGATACTTTGACTTATCTTCTGATACATAAACTTAAAAATGTTACAACTAGTACTATTTTGTAGCATTATTTCAGCTCCTAGAATAGTGACTAACAGGCACTTAATCTATTGCTCCTCTGTAAGCTTTGTATTCGGTTTGACCATATGAAATTGCCAATAACCACTCTTTTTTTAACCTATAGGAATGAATACTTGCATGTCTTTCTGTATAATTCTAATATTAATTTGATTCGGAAATAATGTGACTACTGTTTCTTTGGATGACTTTAATTAAAGTCATTTTGTATTTATGTTAATGTGTGCTTTTTATCTATTACGTTGTAAAATTAAGAGTTGTGAACAAGTAAACTATCAATAATTTTATTGATCAGTCAGTTGACAGAACTGTTGGAGGGTTTTAAAAGATTATTATTGACTTAAATTTATAAAGATTTCCTTGTTTGAAAAGTTCAGAGTAACATTTCTTATTGGGTATTTTTAAAATAAAATATTGGCATGATTTTGATCTGTGATGGAGATTATTAAATCACTGTACCTCCATGAGAATTTGTACGTTTGACTAGTTTTTAAGCTGCAGTTTAATCTCCGTTCTCATAACCAACATTTTGTTTGTATTTAGTGGGCTTTATTTTATATATATTTATATAATCTCTAAAGCAGCGGTTCTCAACCGGTGGGTCGTGACCCCTTTGGAAGGTTGAACACAGCGGTCCCCGGTTCATAACAGTAGCAAAATTACAATTATGAAGTAGCAATGAAAATAATTTTATGGTTGAAGGTCACCACAATATGAGGAACTGTATTAAAGGGTGGCAGGATTAGGAAGGTTGAGAACCACTGTTCTAAAGGATAACAGTAATCAATTTGGAGAACTTGTAGAAATTTTCCTTCTGGAGTAACAAACTTTTCTTTGTTTTCAGTGCCACCATGGCAACTGCACCGTACAACTACTCTTACATCTTTAAATATATTATTATTGGTAAGTTTATTTAATGTATGCTCAGGTTCCCCAAAAAAGGTTAGTATACAAAATATTACACATTGATACTTAACAAATGTAAAGAGTACATGGTTTTCTTCCTGCACAGTTAGAGCTTCTTTGGTGAGATTTATTTTTGCATAAGCAATAGCTCAAGATACCTACATGGTATGATTCTGAGCACCTTATGAGGGTTCTCTGAAAGTTTGGAAAATGCCGTTTAATATTCGTTATCATAACTGTAATGCCTTAATTAATGTTATAAAACTTATCTTTCTAGTTTCTAATATTGTGATGACTACACAGAAACTCACAGACAAATTCATGATTAAAAGATTTATTAAAGATGTTAACAAGTTGTAATACCAGTGAGGAATAGTCAGGATAGTTGTTTACCAGGACTTGTTACAAAGTTTTAGGTCTGCTAATGCTTAAGGGGCATACCACTCTGCTGTTTTAGCCTCAACCCAAAGGTATTTAGCACAAGCTCTGTGGATCAGCAAACCCAGCTCCCTGAAATAAGTGCCCAGAGGCACTCCACTCCAGTAAACCACAGCCTAAATGCACTCGGCTCCACTTCTAAGGGTCAGCAAGTCCAAATCCCCCAATTAAGTGCCCAGAGGCTCCCCACTCCACAAGTCAACCTTCTACACAAAAACACTCCACTTTACTTGCTTCCTGAATTGAAAAGTCAGTCCACTACTCTGTTCCGTACACTGGATCCTGGTTCTGCTGCTGCTCCTCTGATGGTATGTATAGCTGTCTTCTGGATCCAGAAGGTTTACTGTGCAGGGAAATGGGGTCCAGAGGATACACTCCTGGCTCTGGTTGATAATGAGATCTCTCTTATTGCTTCTCAGAGGGCTCATTTTATACACAACAGGATGCCACTCCAGGGAATCCTGTTCACAATTACTCACAGATAAATCCTATTGGCATCTCCCCTACCTTCTTACCAGACCCATGCAGAAAAAGGTCATTTGGTGAGATGTTAGAGACTTTGGCCAGAAGAGACACATTAAATAATTCATTGCCCCTGCAGTAACCAACATTTTGCTTGTATTCAGTGTGCTGTTTTAATATTGGGATTGAGATTCATTTCCTAGGGGTACTGATAGATTCCCACAGTACCTCAAAAGACTTGAGAACCTCTTGTATTCCAAAAACTGTTAATATTAATAGTTTTTTTTTCCTTTAAGAGTCTAGATTTTACTCAAGTTGAAATTTTTAGTGCTACTTCTCAAATATTAAAAAGGCAGATGAAAGTACCCTTGCTTTTCATTTAAATCTTCACATTAAAACATGCTTTTTTATTATTGAGCTATGTAACTGTAATACTTCTCTAAGTTAAAATTTTAAATTACTGTAGTATAGAAATGACATCTGTTAAGATCTTCATATAATACAAATCATATTCCTTAGATTTTATAGTAAATACAAGAACCATGAGAGAACATGATGCCTAGTGTGAATCAAGGTCCCAAAACTCAAAATTCAGTTTGTTTTTTTCTGCTTGTTATGTGTATCTTTTTTAAAAAACTATTAGAAGTCTTTGGATGTCGTGGGATATAGGGGGTAAAAACATAAAACTTGGTGTTGTTGAAACGAGTTAAAAGCTCCTTTTATAACAACTTCTCTACTAAAAGTACTTTCTAGCTCATGGCTATTAAAATAGTAATTCGTAATCAAATTTTACGAATTAAATTCTGTCACTTCTAGAGCTGGTAATAGTCAATTTTGAGTTCACAGCGAAAGCTGACTTTTAGATCTTTTGACATCATTCCAAAATATGGAGCTACAGCTTTTCTAAATGTTGTAGAAACTTGTGAGGTGAGGGTGATGCAGGTGGTATGACAGAATGTGATTATAAGAGAACAGAATTGTCATCTGAAACATTTTGTTTTCCTTTTTTTGAACAGGGGATATGGGAGTAGGAAAATCTTGCTTGCTTCATCAATTTACAGAAAAAAAATGTAAGTTTAATGTGTGATGTTAAATACTAGATTTCTTTATATTTACTTAAAATAGTATTTAGAAAAATAGTCATTTATAATCAAATTCTATTGCGCTTTTAAAAAGTATAATTTTCTTTGTATTCTGTGCATATTTAAGGAGTCCCTGGATAGTGTGAACAGTTAAGGTTCATACTATTGCCAGAAGGTTGTCTGTTCAAACCTACTCAGAGACAGCTTGGCACGAGGCGTGGTGATCTGCTTACTAATGGGTGTTGAGTACCCTGTGGAATAGTTCTATTCTGCACATAAGTTGTGGGAATTGAGACAACAGCAACTAGGTGATAGAATGTTTTTAAATACAGTATGTAACAGATTTCTTCCTTTTCTTTTTTTCGCCTTTTTTTTAAAGGTCATTTTAGTAGGGGCTCTTACAGCTCTTATAACAATCCATACATCAATTGTATCAAGCATATTTGTACATTTGTTGCCATCATCATTTTCTAAACATTTATTTTCTATTTGAGCCCTTGATATCAGCTCCTCTTCCCCCTGTTCCATGACCCCTTGATAAAATATAAGTTGTTGTTATTTTCATATCTTACACCATCCACTGTCTCCCTTCACCCATATTTCTGTTGTTCGGCGGTGGGGGTGGGGGGCACAGTTATGCAGCGATCATTAATACAGTGCCCCCCCCCTTCTTCACCTTCTCCCCACACCTTCCCCTTGCCCTCCTGATATCGCTGCTTCCATTTTTGTTCCTAATAGATTTTTTAATGGTGAAAACTTGGAGGTGGTTTTTTTTTAAGTGCATGATATAATGTCATATTTATGTAATCTCACTTTATTTTCTATAAGTTTTCATTCTATGCAAAGAACCTAAACCCAATGCTATTGATTTGATTCCGACTCATAGCAACATTATTATATAGCAGGGGTGGGGAAACTTATTTTTGGCCAAGGGCCATTTGGATATTTATAAACCTCATTTGTGGGCCATACAAAATTATCAACTTAAAATTTAATCTTTTATATTGGGTCAAACATTTAACTCACCCCAAATGTGGTAGCTAAAACAGCTTCTCTTCAGTGAGGCATGTGATATTAGCTTGTATGGGTGATTTTGTGGGCTTTATGTAGCCCAATGTTCTCCATCTCTGTTTTATAGGGTTTCTGAGGCTATGAATACTTATGAGAGCAGGCAGCCTCATCATTCTCCCACAGAGCAGTTGGTAGATTTGAGCTGCCAATCGTGCTGTTTGCACTGCAACAGTTCCACCAGGGCTCCTAGTTTTCATTATAGGAATTGTTTTGTTAGTACTCCTTTGAACTGCCTGATGGGTTTGAACAGCAGACTTCTTGGTTAGCAGCCCAACACTAACCCACCACACCACCAGGACTCTTCCTGTTGAAGACAAGAGTCTAAGAAAGAGAACAGACGAGATGAAAGGTCTAGAATCTAGGTTCCTAAACAGATTTGTCAATATATAACCAAAAACCCCAAACACATTGTCATCAAGTCAATACTGGCTCATGGGGATGCTGTAGGACAGGGTAGAACTGTCCCTGTGGGTTTCTGAGATTAGCTATTTCTAGGAGTAGAGAGCCCCGCCTTGCTCCCACAGAGCTGCTGGTGGTTTTAAACTGCCCCCCCTGTGGAGAGCAGCCCAGTGCATAACCACTACACTACCAGGGATCCTTATGTCAATATATAAGTATATATTAAATATGGTCATATCCTTTGAGACATGTATAGTCTTTTTCAGATGAAAAATTGACCAAAAAACAGCTCTCAGTTTTAGAGCCATGTATTGATGTAATGATTGAAGGCTATGTAGTATAATGTTGATAATATGAAATATTTTTATTACTGAAATCCTTATTTTAGCTAGCAGATTTTTCCAGTCCAGTAGTCAGCAAACTCTAAATGTGGGACAAATCCAACCACTGCCTGTTTTTGTAAAAGCTATTTTACTAGTACTAAGCCATACCCATTTCACATATTATCTGTGGTTGCTCTTATACTTCAGAGTTGAATAGTTCTGACAGACCCCCCCTATCACAAAAAAATGGCTTTGAAGAAGTGTCTTCTAACTTCTGGGGAAGGAGAGAAAGCCACTATCACAATATCAGCCACCCATGGCAAATTCCAGTGAGGTGGTGGTCAGACATACCTCCACTTTTAGCCTTTTACCAATTCTGACACCAGCAGTCCTTCCTGTGACATTCTCCACTTCTGCTGGTTTGATGATGCCCTGAAGTGGCCACACAGATCTATCTCATAGACCCTATGAAGAGTTAAAGGTTTAGTAAAAAAGGAACAGGTTATAAGCTGGGTTCAAGAAGCTCAAGAAAGCGTTCTTCAATCAGAAAAGCCCCTTCATAGCAAGGTTCAGAGGCACAACTCTTCCTGACTCTTGGACTGGCCTTTGCCCTGCTCACTCAAATGCTGTATAAACCTTTTTAATGTTGCCAATAAGTGTTAGGGGCACCCAACTCAGTTAGCAAGCTTCTTGCTTGACAATGCTCAACTTTTCTCCCAGTGAGTCTGGAAACCGAGCGCATCTTCTTCCTGTTGGACTCTTGATTCTACTGCCATGGTTTCTGTGCCACTGATGCTAGCCATTATCTCACTATCTCCAATCTCAGAGCTCTCTGTCTTCTGGATCTGAGGCCCAGTGCAGTGTTCTAGAGTCCAAACAAAGCATGGATTCCACTCATGACTCTTTCTAGATGATAATCATTGTCCCTTTGGGCCTCTGAGATGGCTTATTTGAAGCCTGATGGAACGGCAAAACTGACCAATCCCCATGTTAGTGTTCCATACATTTTATTTGCATAATCCTACCCCCACAAGGTCGTCATGATGAGTGAACTGTCTAGTGCCCTTGGTAGGCCACGAACACCTGATACTTGCATAGTCCTACCCATTCACTTGGTGGGAGCTGCAAGGGCCACACCAAGTGTTTCAAAGCGTCGTACCTACAAAGCCTTAAAATCTGGCCTTTTCAGAAGTTTACTGAACCCTATTCTAGTCCAGTTGTTTTCCTCTGACTACTTCTGTGTCTTTGTTAAATTTGATTTTTAGTGTATTTATAGTCTACAAGTATTAGTAGTCATCTAATTTTTGAGTGACTTAAAATTCATTGGAATTTCTTTTTCCCCTAACTAATCTTAATTGAAATTTTCTGAAAATTAGAGATAATGTAATACATTTTTTCCACCTTAACAGTTATGGCTGATTGTCCTCACACAATTGGTGTTGAATTTGGTACAAGAATAATTGAAGTTAGTGGCCAAAAAATCAAACTGCAGATTTGGGATACAGCAGGACAAGAACGGTTTAGGGCAGTTACGCGGAGCTACTACAGAGGTGCCGCAGGAGCACTTATGGTGTACGATATCACTAGGTAAGAGACTTACATTTTGTCATCTCGCATTCCTGGGCGGGAACTTACTTTGGGCAGTATGGGTTCTCTTTTACTGGCTTTGGCATTCTTTGATTTGTAATTGTGTGACTGTGATGCAATAATTTGGGTTTAATAATTTCTTCTCCAAATTGCTGTGTAAAATCTAATGATAGAACATGGTGATATCTTTTTCCGGATTGAGAAAATAGTGAAGAGGATGAAAGATACACTTCTAAAAAAGCATTCATGGAATTATTTGAAATAATACTGTGTATCTGTTCTTTTTACATCAGTGGAAAGCCAATTTGTTGAGTTATTTGTTCTCTAATGTTTTATAAAGTACAACCCTTCTCAAACTAAGGCTAATTAATCACCGTATTCTAATGCAAATAGTGTGTTATTTGGTTGTGAATTAAGGTGGCTTACAATGCCTCATGCAGTAGAGTTTAATTACAGGACTATTTCTGAAATGCATAATGTGACAGAAAGTAACAAATCTGGTTTGTAAAGGATATGGTAGGAAGCTGTCCCACTTTGTTTTTGTAGGAAGCTACCACTTCATTAATGCATGATAACATACTTAGCCTAAGAACTTTTGCAAAATAGCAGCTCTTTACAATTTTGCGTTGTTAAACTTAGTGTTTTGTATTGGTTTTAAGTTTATTTTACTGAGGAATACACTTTTAAGCACACTCAGTACTTTTGACAAAACTTAACTATTAAAATCATCAAACGTATATTAGCTGGAAACTAATGTCCAAAACTGATACTTTCATAGTTGATTCACTTAAAAAAATAGTACAACCCTGGTGTAGTGGGTTATACATTGGGCTGCTACCTGCAGTAAGGTCAGTTGTTCGAAACTACCAGCCACTTCATAGGACTTTCTCCTACCGTGAAGATGTATAGTCTTGGAAACCTGTAAAGGCAGCTATGAATCAGAAAGGATTGAAAGGCAGAGTGAGTTCAGGTCTTAGGTGTGTTTCATTTAGTTTCACATTTTAGTGACAGTGTTGCCTGACATGGCTTTTTTTGTGTTTTGTTTTTTTGATCCCCCCTTCACTTTTCCCCCTATTCTATAACTCTACCGGTACTTTCTTGACATGATAGTAGTAATTTGGCCATATCAGTCATTGAAAATCTAATCACCACACCAAAGTTTGGGATACACTTTTAGGATTAGTGTCTCCACTTAATATTTGGATGATACTGTGTTTATAGATTTTAAATTATTAACAATAGTGAATATTAAACTTGTGTGGCATTTACTGCCATCAAGTCAATTCTGACTCACAGCGACCCTGTTGGGCAGGATAGAACTGTGCCTGTGGGTTTCCAAGGCTGTAACTTTTATGGGAGTAGAAAGCCTCGTCTTCCAGTATATTCAAACAATAGCATTATGTAAACTTTGTAATACTTTTATAGAATATTTATTTCTGTCTACCAGTTAAAGTGGTGGCAGCTTGTAATTCATTCTCCCTGATAACGTTGAAATTTTAAAAGTCAGCAAAATTAGTGTAAACATTTTTGAACTTGTGTTATTAAAAAGTTCCATTTGTGAAGTAAGACACTAGTTGTGTAAAAGTAAGGTTTGCCAGTATTATACATAGTGAGCACTGATATAAAGCTTGTGCTTTTTTAGAAATTGTTTGATTATCATTTACTTAGAAAATCTGAAAACACAAAGAAAGGTGTTACAGTGATTTATTGAAAAGACATTAGATTTTTTAAAATTCAAGTGGTGACTTAATATATAACGTGATGCAATGTGATAAGAAGACATCAAGTAAGGAATTCTTTTCAGTTTCCACTGAAGAAGGATTCTGTGTGTCTAGCTAAGTTTCATGGGAGCATCAGCAGCTGGAGAAAGGGGATGTATTCACAAGGCTAAAGTAGAAATGGATATAGGATATGTGATGGGCGAAAAGGATTTTAAGCCTGGCTCTGTGAAACCATTTATATCTTTGTGGATTTCTTTATCCTCATTTCTTAGGTGAGTAAGGTGAATTAATGTTAGTGAGTCTCTAAATTTTAAAAAACAAAACATTCTGAGCCTTCAAAATTTGTATTATCTTGAGCCTTTTGATGGATTTGATTTTGTATAATACTGTAAATTATTTTGATTTGTTTGCTATCTTAGGGCCTACTTGGCTAGTGCAAATGAGCCTTTCTAAGATTAACAATTGTTCATAGGAAGTGGAGAAAAGGTCATTTTGAATCCACAAATGATTTAGCTGCCTGGTAAATAAGAAAACAAAAAATAAGGACAAGCTAGCTTTTTAATACATATGCCCTTGAATTTACTCACATATATTAGATGCCCTTTTAAAGTTAAACATTGATGTTGCAGTTTGTGTTCTCTTTAAATTACTATTAAGAAAAGATTAATTATATACAGGTACGACAGGGCGATGATAGTAGTTTCTGATCGAGAATTAGTAAGTTTACAGACAGGCAGAAAAGTACTTCCCCATTGAGCGCTCTTAATTGGACAGTGTTGCTTACTTTGTCTTTGTTTTGTGATTGAAATCTGGATGGTTTTTAATTTTAATGAAATACTTTAGTTTTAATTTAAGATTTAAAAATTTGAGTAGAATTATTTTCTGTCAGCTTTTTTTCTACTTTTAATCGTTTTATTTGGGGGCTCATACAGCTCTTTTCAAAATGTCTGTCACTTTTTCTACATTTGTTCCATGCTTGCTTATTTGTTTACACACACACTTTTAAAAAATCATTTTATTGGGGGCTCATACAGCTCTAATCACAATCTATACATGTATACATTGTGTCCGTATGTACATCTTAAAGGACATTTTACGTGGGTAGAGGCTGCAGTCTTTCTTCTTCATTACTTTTACTCACACTCCTCTTTTTGTTCTTTTGTTTTTTTAATACTTTTATTGGGGCCTCTTACATCTCTTATCATAATCCATATATTCATCCAGTGTGTCAAGCACATTGGCACATATGCTGCCATCATCATTTTCAAAGCATTCTCTTAACACTTGAGTCCCTGATATCAGCTCCCCATTTCTTCCCCCTCCCTCTCCCACCCGTCCTCCCTCACAAACCCTTAATAAGTTATAGATTATTATTTTCATATCTTACATTGTCCTCTTTTGCCCCTCACCCACTTTTCCGTTGTTCGTCCCCTTGGGAGGGGAGTATAGGTTGATCCTTGTGATGGGTTCCCCCTTTCTCCCCCCACCCTCCCCTAATCTTCCTGGTATCTCTACTCTCATTGTTGGCCTTGAGGGGTTTATCTATCCTGGATTCCCTGTGTTGCAGGCTCTTATCTGTAGCAGTGTGCAATGTTCTGCTCTAATCCGATTTGTAAGGTAGAATTGAAGTCATGATAGTGGGGTGAAGGAAGTACCAAAGAACTAGGGGAAAGTTTTTTGCTATACTGCACCCTGACTGGCTCATCTCTTCCCTGTGATCCCTCTGTGAGGGGGTGTCCATTTGTCTACAGCTGTGCATTGGGTCTTCACTCCATGCCCCCCACCCCCCACCCCATTCACTTTGGGTATGATTTTGTTCTGGGTCTTAGATGCATGCTACCTGATTGCATCGACACCTCATGATCACACAGGCTGGTGTGCTTCTTCCATGTGGGCTTTGTTGCTTCTCAGTTAGATGGCTGATTATTTATCTTCAAGCTGTTGAGACCCCAGACACTGTATCTTTTGATAGCCGGGCACCATCAGCTTTCTTCACCACATTTGCTTATGCACCCATTTTGACTTCGGTGATAGTGTAGGGAAGGTGAGCATCACAGAATACTGGATTGTTAGAACAAAGCATTCTTGTGTTGAGGGAGTACTTGAGTAGAGGCCCAATGTCCATCTGCAACCTTAATTCTTAACATTAAGGTTGAGTACATAGTTCTATTCCCTTCTCGTTATATTTACATATGTACATGCCTGTATTTAGACCTCTATAAATGTTCTTTGCCTCCTGATTCTTTCCTCTATTTCCTTTTACTTTCCTCTTGGCCCACCATTCTTTTTGGCCTTCATTTGGGTTTAGTAATTCCTTGTTGCTACATTGCCCTTGATTAAGCTCCACTAGGCATCCTATGCCCTTCTCTACATTGATTTTAGTTCACTTGTTGTTCCCTTGTCCTTAGGTTGGACTCCCATCCCCCCTAGACTCTTCCTTTCTCCCACCTCCCCTTCTCCATTACCCCCCAGAACCATTGGTTCCATTCTTTTCATTTCTGAATTATTTATCCTGCCCATCTTATCTAGATAAACATGCAGGTACATTAATAAGTGCAAAACCCAGGCAAAGCCAAATGAAACAACAAAGGAAGTCAAGACCAGTAAAACAATAACAACAAAAAGAAAGCCACTGAAAAAATTGGGAAAGCCTATAAATATTTCAAGGTCTATTTCTTGGCCTTTAGGAGTGATTTCCAGTCGAGTTTGATGAGATGTCATACTCTGTCTCCAAAGTCTATTTTTGGTATTCCCCGGGGATTTCATCACTTTGCTTTCCTTGCTGCTCTGTTGCATGCCCTTAGTGTTTTGCCCCAACGTGACGGAGTCAGATTGTACACAATTCTTGCACTGTGTCTGCAGTGTTGTCCCCCGCAGCGCTGTGGTTTAGTGAAGGACGTCATGTCTCATGGTGGGGTCAGCCCTATGGTCCTCTCTGTGCGTTGTCTGCTCTGAGCAGGAATATGTCCTCAGGGCTTGGTGGACCAGGATGTCCTCCCCTCCCCCCACCCCTCCTCCTCCCTTTCCATTTCTCACGTGTGCTCTAATCCCACATGCCCCTCTCCCCAAGCTGTAGCCCCAGTGCAGTCTGAAGTGCATTCTTCTGAGGTGGGAGGGCGGTGTCCACACAGTTGATGATTGGTGCCGGCCCCCGCACACCTCTATATCGGTTCCCTGGTACATGCCAGTATGTTGTGTTCACGTCTTGGCGCATCGGGTTGAAGCCTGGTTCCACTCTCCCTCTCCTGTGGAGATATAAACAATACCCTCCCCTTGGGTGGGTTAGTGCCCTGTTTTCCACCACCACCCATGTCTTTTTGTTTTGTTTTGTCTCTTTCTTGCCCCCTCTTATTTAGTCTGCTGCCGTATGTATCCCTGGATTGGGTTTGGCCCCTGCCATAGTTGCTGAACCTCACCCCAGGGATGTATGTATATAGTAGCTTTTCCCCTATGCCCTGTTTATTTTTTTAAGCTTACCTCAGTGGACTCCTGTTGTACTTGTCCTTTTGTGCTTGACTTACTTCACTTAGCGTGATTTCCTCCAATTCTTCCCATGTGGCAATACACATAACACTTTCAATGTGAATAATTTACTCCTGACATGTAAGTAGTTAAGACACTTGTTAGATGTTGAATTATTTATTTTAAAATATATTTGACTAAATTTTTTATTGATTAGAATGTATTGCATTAGGTGGCATATGTTCGTTCCTTAGAGAACAGTATAGTCCAATGTGACCCATAGTGGGAGATACCACCCTCCGAGAGGATGCTGGAATGACCCCGAGGTGCTGCAGAAGCAGGTGCCTGTACTTGATCCTGGATTAGGGGCCATGTTTTTAATTGCCAGTGGGAAGCTAACTTTTTTTCCTGAAAGGGAGCAGTAGGCCATATAAGTTTGGGAACTTATGATCTACTCATAGTAGAAATTCTGACTTTCTTAATCAGTTTATTGATTGAAGTATATACTACAAATATTTATTGAGATATCTCTTTTAAGTATTTAATGATAATTGTATATCACAATCACAACTTTAATTTTTACAGAAGAAGTACATATAACCATTTAAGCAGCTGGTTGACAGATGCAAGGAACCTCACCAATCCAAATACTGTAAGTTAAGTGTTATATCTATTTTGTCTAAAATCAAAACTAAAAAGAAAAGCCATTTATGCATACTACTTTTTGTGTATGGTTACTCAGAATGAGAGAATCTTTGTTGTATTCTTAATTGAAACAAACACATTTTTAAAATTTCTAATTATCTCAGGGTTTTTTTTATCTTAACAGTATAAAGTTTTGTTCATGTTTTATTGTTTTTGAAAGAAAATGTTAGGTATTAACAGGCTAATTATCGCCTTTCAATTGGAGGCTGTGAAACCTGCAATTAACCTGCAATTTTAAAGGGATCTGCATTCTTTACATAACATGCTACCACTGGGGGAAATCAGCCCTTTGGGAAAGTGTTGGTTGCTAGCTGCAAGGTTCAAACCTACCAAGCTACTCCAAGGGAGTAAGATGAGGCTGTTTGCCCCTATAAAGATTTACAGCTTCTGAAACCCTGTATAGGGTTGGTATGAGTCAGAATTGATTTGATGACATTGGTTTTGGTTTTGGTAGGGGTTAAAATTTCTGAAGGGTCTCTCTATTATTTGTTATGACTCAATATGAATCTAAATAATGTCCATAAAAATATCAGTGCAAATAAAGGTGAAGTGCCTGCTTTGAATTAGTAGCTTTTATATTAGTATTTCTTAGGGCTGCTATAACAAAATGCTACAAAGTGGGTGATTTATAGGAACAGAATAGTGTTCTCATAATTCTGGAAGCTAGAAATCTGAATTCAGGGAATCAGCAGAACTATGCTATCTTCAAAGGCTCTAGGGAAAGACCTTTTCTCGTCTATCCCAGCTTCTGGTATTACCAGACATTCCTTGGAATGTGACAGCAAAACTCCCTTCTGCCTTCTTCACATGGCAGTTTTCCCTCTGCCCGTGTTTCTCTTTTTATAAGGACACTTGTCATAATGGAGTAGACCAACTCTGCTCCACTCTGACCTCGTGGTAACGTACTATATCTGCAAAGGCACAATTTCTAAACAAGACCACATCACAGATAATAGAGGTTAGGTTTTAATATTCTGGTAACACAATTCTTCCCACCCAGCTTCTTACCCAGACTTAAAAAGATAACAATATTTTAAAGGGCATCCACCATGGCAGACCCTGTAGTATGCAGGATCCTCGGCCCTGAGAGCGTGTAGTCTAGCAGGTACAAGAACTACTGCAATGCAGATTAAAATATGCATTAGAAAAAGTGCTGGTTCCATGCTTGTGAAGCCCCAGAAAACCAGTACCATGTGAAGAAACCAGCTTCATAGAGGAGGTAGCCTTTGAACTGGGCCTTCAGAGGTGATTAAGGTTTTGGTGGATACTGTTGAGGATTTTGGAGGAATAGTGTGAAGAAAGCTATGACTGACAACTGAGTTTGTCAAGAGCAAAACCTGTATCTTGCTTAGCTTGGCTTTGTGTCCCCAGCACCTAGCTGAGGCCAATAAATACACAGTCATTGGTCAGATTGGCTTTTGTCAGGAAACAGTTTATCATATTGAGAGTTCGTTAACGTTATAGGCTTATTATGCTAGAGACTGTGCCTAGACCTTTAACATACGTTATTACTTTGAACCCAAAGCAGTACACATAGAAACACATGTGAATGTTCACAGCTTTATGTGAAGTAACCAAAGCCTAGAAAGAGCCCACTTATTTCTCAGTAGACAAACTGGTGTGTCAACAGTATGGAATACTAGTCAACAATAAAGAGGAATGAATTGTGGGGTTTATTGTCTGTGATCTAGTACCCAGATTTGCACCCCAGCCCCTAGCAGCAGAGGTCCGGCTTAATAAATATGTCATCACTAGTAAGATTGACTTTTGTTAGAGAATAGCATTGGTACTGTCCTGTGATTCGACTACCCATATGACCTCTGGCAAGTTCCTTCTCATTTTTTGAGCTTTATTTCTTCACTTGTAGCTGGAAGGAATTAAACTAGTGATCTTTAAGGGTCCCAGAAGCTTTTAAAAATCTTATCAGAGCCCAAAATTTTCTCACTTGGAATATGGTGATTTTTCACATTTTAAAAAGCAAAGAAATATATGCACCAGCGATCATGTGGGATCATAAAACCTATAAAATATCTACTATCTGCCCTTTAGAGAATGTCTGTCTAGATGACTGCTATGAACGCTCTAAGAGCTTAGGACTCCCTGATTCTATAGTTCTACCTGGTAGATCATTGCCGATTCCTGGTTCCTTTTATTTTTAAATATGTTTTTGTTCGTGTGTTTGTTTTGGTGACAGTTTACACATCAGTTTAGGTTCCCATTCAACAGTTTCAACACAAGTTCACTAATATTGAGTATGTCTTCACAATACGGGAACATTCTCATTATTTCCATGCTGGTGGTTCTTTGCTAGTCTAGAGTCCCTGCCCCCTTACATTCTCTTCACTTTAAAGATTGTTAACTACAGTGAACCCTCGCCACTTCGTGCTTTGACTTCCGCGGCTTCACTCTATCGCGGTTTTTGCGTAACAGTGCATGCTCTGTCATTACTGCCACTGATTGGCTCCTACTGTACACGCTTCTGTCTGCATCGCTACGTATCGGAGCTACGTATCAGATGCATTTTTGCTTTTGTACAGTGTACTGTAATTGCGATTTTTAAGAAATTTTATCTAAGCCCTATGAT